TGAACTGCTACCGTGGGAGGCACAGCAGGGAAGGATGGTAGAGGGAGGCAGGAGGGCAAGTGAGGAGAATCTAAAGGGTAGCATACCCGAAGACCTTCAACCTTTAACAGCACTGTGACTAGCAGGCTGGTGCTCTTGCAACTTGTGTGCTGGCGGCCTGCCACTTGCTGACTGGCTGAGTGGCAGCTGCTTGCCCTGTGAGTACTAGTTGGTGAGCACGTTGGCAGTTGGCGCAGGCTCAGGGGGGGTGGGATCTCAGAGGGCTGGAATGTGGATGGGTACTCTAGTGGCTGACAGTTCTGCACAAATGTTTCTCGTGCCGGACTTAAGTCACCCTCACAGGCCTGTTCAGTGATTAGGACCGGCTGGTGAGAGCCCACCCATTTGGCAGACAATTTGACATGTGTTCCAGCTAAATCATTTTGCTATCCCAGAATAACGGAGAATAAGAAAACCCCCACTGTGGGTCTGGACTTATATAGAAGGGGTGTAACTTCTCTGATCAGAGCCCAGGTTGAAGGAAGGCAGCATTGACCCAAAGTGGCTTTTTACAATGACTGGTCTGACCCCTGATGCTGGTGAGGAGCTTCCAAATCTGTTCTGAATTTTGCCTCATGCTGGTGATGTGAGCGGTGCTGAGGCTGCATGGAGACACACTTCCTGCTCATTTTCAGTAAAAATACAGGGCACGTGCAAAGGACATTTTTTAAAGGCTGGATTTGGGGGCCTGATTAGGGGCTGGATGAGTTAATTTCTTCCAACTGATTTATAGAGGGGAAAATGGTTGGGTCAGCCACTTTACATGGTATCTCTGTCTTACTAATAATAGCTAGCAACTGCTAAGAGGACATAGACTGAAGAACTGATATTTGTCATGTAAAGATAGAAAAAGGGGGGAATCTCTGTGGTCTGTGTAGAAGGCCAAGTTCTCCAGGATGACCTTGCTCTTGGGGCAGAGTAAGGGCTGCCAGATTTTATGCTTTCACTTTTGCCCTTGCCCCCCTTCTGCAGAGAAGAGGTCTGTTTTCAGGCGCTCTGTGTGATCCATCCGAAAGAACGAAGTTCTGGTGACTTGCTATGTATAGTCTTGAAGGGAATGTGAACTATGCATCAAAGAGCCAAGGAATGCACCAATCATGACCCCCACTCCCTACTCAGACACGGAGGCTGGGCAGTTTGCTCAACTTGGCCAGAGGGCTTGTGCACTGACTTTCCTACCTTCCTTTCCAATCGTCTCTGGCTTTCTTTCTTTTCCTTGTGGCATGAAGTTTTGGAAAAGGCTTAGATTGCAAGGCTAAATGTTTTCTCTAGAAAATATATCAAGAGACAACAAAATATTTTAGGATTTGCCCAATGAGTGAGAGGGTACAAAGTGAAGTCTACAGTTAATTGTGTCGAATTCGGCATGCTCACTGACCTGGGGTCAGTTCTGAGAAGAGATGAGGGACAAACTATTCTATTTTCTGAGGGCATGGTGCAGTTAGGGGACGTGCAGCAGGGCAGCACTCTGGGATTTTGTTGTGCTTCTCAGCGGTTTTAAGAAATTTTCCTCATTAAGCTGTTATCCTTATCTGTGTGTACAAATGCTGGGTAACTAATGCCTCCTTGCACTTTGAGCTGCTCCCTGACCTCTAGGGGAAACCCTTGAGAAGGTGGAGGTGATTGTGTATCCCTGGTGCTTGTAAGTGTGCAGGCTGCATGGTAGACACTCCGCTCATATTTACTCCCCTCCTCACTGGAGGGAGGTAGGAGAGAGAAAACAGAACGGTCAAGCACCTTCTCTGTTCCTGTCTCCCCATGCAACACTGAGCATGGCCTGTTTTAAGAGCTTGGGTTATAGCAACTGCAACCTCCATATTGCCAAATCCAGCCTTTGCTTCCCCAACTCTGCCTTCTTCAGCTTTCAGGTGGGGTTGTCTGGACTCTCTGACTTCCCTGACGTCACCCACACCCAGTTTATACTTGCCTCACTGCCTGACTTGGGGGTGTTGGTGTGTTTTAACAGGTGGTCTCAGGTCTATTCCCTTGTACCAATTCTTCCTTCCTGCATGAGTGCATCTGGTAATAACTTCAGCTCCAGCTTGATGCATGAATTTTGCTACATTATAACACCAGCTGTAAGTCCCTAGTTCCAGATTCAGGCTGCTGTGATCATATCAGTGACTTTTTATGCACAAAATGCACATTTCCACCTTAAAGTGTGCAAAAGGAATGCTCCATGCTTTCTCAACTACCTACTTCTTGCCCAATCCCCTTGGTTCTTGTGGTAGTTTTTGAACTTCCCTTGTTCCCTAACCCTCTGTTTTCCACAGCACAGGTAGATCGATCCTTTGAAAAGGGGAAATGGTTCAGACCTTCAATTCTGACTCCTCCTCCTGGCTTGCATAATAGAGTTCTCTCCCATGCGTGCGTGTCATCTGCATAGTTGACCCTTTGCTGTCTAGACCTTATAGCAGTTCTCGGATGGTGCTAAACATCCCTACCTGAGGGCCTTGTCACTTGCTTGTTCTGCATTTTCACCCAGCTACTTTGTCCCAAATCAAGTCACTTCCTCAGCACCACCCTATGCTAGACAGTCCCGCCTGTGATTTTACTTTCTGCAGACCTCTCATTCTGTTTTCCAACGTTATCTTGCCCCTGTGTTCATTGTTAATTTTTTTTTAAGGACCTTTTTTGTCTTGTTTGTACATTTGTTCCCCTCCTTCTGAAGAGTAACTGGAAAATAGCAAGCAGTAATTAGATATTTGCTGAACATATGAGTAACGCTATATCCATTAATCTTCCTGGGAACCCAAGGCTCAGGGAGATTGGCAAATGGCTTGACTTTGTAGCCTTTAAGGTATTTCATTCCCACTATAATCCTGCTGCTGGTCCAAATCTCGTTTTATACATTTAGTTTGAGTGCAGAGAGGAAACGTATCCTGACATGTGTCAGGGTGAGCCCATCATGTACGAGGCTCATATCTCCCCAAAGAAGACTCTTGAAGAGTCCAAAAGTCATACATTTCTTCCCATCCCAGCCGGGTCCAACCCTGCTTAGTTTGTGAGATCAGACGAGATGGGGTGCCATCAGGGTGGTATGGCTGAAGACTAGTAATGCGTTTCCTAATGATATTGTTAGCCAGGGCTGGTAAAAGGGGGCGGGGAGAAACCTTTTTTTTATTGTAGAATGTTATTATTTGTGTATATGTGTTCTCTCTCTCTCTCTATGTCTCTGTCTCTGTATGCCACAGCACATGTGTGGAGTCAGTTGTTTCCTTCTATCCTGTAGGTTCTAGGGATCAAACTCAGGTCATCAGGCTTGGAGACAAGCACCCTTCTGCTTGTCTCCTGCTGAGGTACCCTGCTTGAGATACCTTGCTGGTCTAGGGAACCACATTTATAAAACAACGTAATGTGTGCTAAGTTTGGTCCTGAGTGCTTTGACATCTGGCACCTCATACAAATCTCAAAGCAATCAATGCAGAGTTCAGATCAGAGTATTGTGTTGAATTACTGTGAAATTGATATGATTACTCTAATTTTATACAAGGGAAAAAACAACAAACAAACAAATAACCCCCCCCCCCAAACAACAAACCCTGTGGCTCAAAAGAGTTAAGTACTCTGCTTCCAGTGGCATAACTATTAAGTGGTCACATTAGATTTTTGGGTTTTGCTTCTGATCTTTTATGTAAAGGTGATGTCTTGGTAAGGGAGATATATTCCTAAAGTCTGAAGGGAAAAACAGAATTCAGTGCACCTCTGCTTAGACTATCGCAAATACCCGAAGCACCAGAATAAGTAATACAGATCATGCAGAAGACAGACTCAACCGTATCCGGTGCTTGAGCATACAATTGGATGACTAGAATGTAGAGTGAACATGTGGTTCTCTGGCAAGGTTCATATATGGGATGACACAGAACAGCTGTCCCCAGAGAAAGTTCTTTGTTACAAGACCCGTACTATACAGGCAGCATTTGAGCAGTTCATGGTTTCTTTCTGCTTCCCCTATAAATAGAGTTTATGGAATTCTGTATATGAAAGTTAATGTAATGGAAAGGAGCCACAGAGTAAGGGAATAAAGCTTCACTCATTCTGTAAACTAGAAACATGTTTGGCACCGGGAGGAGACTGCAAAAGGAAAAAAAAAATCGCTGTCGTTCCTTGGATAGATTCTGAGGTCTTATTTAGCATATGAAATTGCAGAGTAGATTCTATTATGTAAGGAGACAGGAGGACAGCATAACGTGGTTACAAAATGAAGAACTTCGTGCCCTTCAGAGGAGAGTTAACAGTGCATCTAGCACACAGAGAGACGCGTGATCAGAGTGTGGAAGTAAATGGATGGGTGGCATGTATATGTGCCTACTGCTGAGGCCCTGGTGCCAGATAATCCTCAGATGTCAGATTTCCGTAAGGCCAACATGTGACTCAACGCTTGCCACTCAACACGGAATACTGGGCTGGTATTAAGAGGCTGGCTGCAAGCTAGGTTCCCACTGTGCATTAGCCTAACTCCCTGTCGCTGTGTGTGTGGGTGGGTGTGCATGTGCTCCTGTGAGGGTATACATTTTGTGCAGTGGGTGTTTAAAGAGCTAAGCACTGAAACTGGATTTCCACAAGCGATCATCACGAACACTCCAGACACACCAAACTTCCTCTCTTGGTATTTTTTTTCCTCTTCTTTTGCTCTCATCTCTATTTTTCCCTTCTGCAACTCCCCAAAGGGAGAATCTCCCTCAACATCCAGCCTACAAGATTGGGATTATTTCCTCTCACCTATCCATGTGGCTGCCCTCTCAAGGTTAGAACTGAAGCTATGTGGGGCCAGCACATTCTCAAGCACCAGATGAGAAGAGCTGCATGAAGGAGTGACAGCCACCAGAGGAAGAGGAACTCTGCCCTGCGAACATGAACAACAGCTTGCAGGTTAACCTGCCCAGAAGCTGGGCTGCTTCAAGTGGCTCACTTCAGGAGAAGTCTGAGCATTCTTTTTTTCTTTTCTATTACTATAGGATGGAGGATGAAGCTGTCTTGGACAGAGGGGCTTCGTTCCTTAAGCACGTATGTGATGAAGAAGAAGTAGAAGGTGAGCCCTTTGGGTCTGGGAAGGTGTGTGTTTTTGTCCAGGTACTCTGTAGATAATGGCATTCATATATTTCATACACCTTACATTTTTCAAAGTTAAACACCAAATCTGGTGGAGTGTCTTTAATCTCTGTGTTTATGGGAAGTAATTCTAAGAACTTCATCGGACCCTCAGAATTGAAGTCAGCAAGGGCTTACCTGTGACATTTTTTAAAAAAGGTGTTATTTGTGTTAGCTTTGCCTCTCCACCAGAAATGAATATTTTACTAGATGATTCCAGGGAGCTGCCAGATCTATAGAAATGAATTCGTTAGCACCTCTACTATTCCTTTTTCGGTAGCTTACAGTGGAGAGAAACAGATGTTGCCTAAGGAGAGAATGATAATTATTGTTGTAGGGAAAGCAGGTCTAAGCTGAGGGTGATGCAAATGGTTGTCATGGACAAGTCTTCGTTCAGAAAACACAGACAAATGTTTTTGCTTTAAAAATTCCTAGGAACCTCTTTAATGTTTCCAGTGCCTGTTAAAACCGAAGAAGAGTTCTATTTTATCTCTGCCAACACATTTCAGTGTGTTGTGCTTCCTTTGCTCACCTCCTGACTTACCAGTAACATCAGGGGAATGCTACTTGATTGGTAATGGGAAGGCAAGGCTTCATTAATATTTACTGAAGTAACAATGTGAAAGCGTCACAAATGTATAGTCTATTATTGGTATTTAGTATGAGATTTCATGTGGCAGTCAGGGTTATAGATAGCCTTGAAGGAAACTCACAGATGAGCGATGTGACCACTTTCTCCTGTGGATGTCACTTGAGAGACAGTTCCCTCTTTTGGAGGCTGTGGACTGACTGGTCCCTTTGGGTAGCTTGTGCCCCCCCTCCCAAGCCTTGGCAAGAAGGATGGTGAGGCCAAGAAGAAGAAGGTGGATATTGTGTGCTTTGGAGCAATGCTTCAAGCAGCTGGAACCCCAGGTCAGTGGTGTTCATGCTCCTGTGCTGTGGGAGCATTCCAGGGTGGTGCTTGTTAGGTTGTTTCTCAGGTTTCTTTAGTGAGTTTCTTCTGCCCTCTGGGAGGTTGGTGCCCCCTCTGCCCCACCCCCTGGCTTCCCATACTTAAGCACTTAAGACTGACTAATAAGAATTTGATGCCTAAGTTTCTTAGGAAAACGGAAACTACAGTATTTTCTTTTATATTGTTTTATGGGTTCCTTGCATTTTTGCAATGTGACTTTGGGAAAGGGCCAAGTTGGGGAAGGCAAAAGAGTAGAAGTTTCCTTTATTGCTGAAGCTTCATTGCTGCCACTGTCGTTATCCCTGACCATAAAAGAGGAGCTAAAACCATCCAGTGAGAGCATAAGAAATAATGTAGGTTTGATGAGAATTCTATTGTTTTAGAACAATTAAAGTGGAAATACCTTGGGAATGGGAATGTATGATGTACACACATTCTGGTTTGGGAATGAGGTCCCGACTGAGTTCTCAGGAGATGTAAATCTCCAGACCTGAAGGTGCTTTGGATCAACAGCATAGTCTTGTAGGAGGTGGTGCACTCAGTTTCTTAAAGCTTTGCCTAAGAAGGGTATTTCCTGAATTATTTCCCTTGATTTTCAAGCAGAAAATTAATCTGTTGATCATAGTGTAAATCATAATATAAATAACACATAATTCTGTAGCCAGCTTTCTTTGGGAGAGAAGCAGAAAGGCCACCGTAGGTCATAGAAGTGCCTGGTTCAGTGCCGGAAATGTGGTGGTTTATGACAATGAAACTTGTGCTTCCTGTTCTCACAGGACATCCACACCACAGTCACTTTTTTGTGCTGTTGGCTGGTGTGAGATCTGATTCCTTTTCTTTCAAGGTGTGTTACGTTGTCTGTTGTTGAATCCTAGGCCTTCAGGATGGTGATTGCTTATGGTGGCTGGAGTGGACTTCAGTGGAGACACACCTGCAGAGGGAGGGTTGGGAGCCATGAGCTAGTTCTTTCTCCTTCAGTACCCATCCTCTTGGCCCTCTCCTCTCTCAGCTGGCTTCATCAAATACAGTTGGGGGACTTAAATGTAGTCTCAGCTCTGGGTAAGAGTCCAAAGAAGTTGAAACTGACCAAGGTTTCATGGCACATGTGTGGGTCCTGTGATTGAGTGAGGAAAGGGATGATGGCTGTCACTACTTCTGATGTAGGTCGACTTTTAAATGGGGATACATTTCTCAAGGTTGTGAGTGTATCTCATATTTGTAATTTCATAGATAAAGGCATTACTGATGGGGAACAGGATGTTACTTCCTGAATAGCTGAGTCTTTGACACACTTAAGTAGACATTTATGGAGAGTTCAAGGGGCAAGGAGCTCAGATATCTTTCTGCAAATCATCAGTTATGTTTCCTTTGACCCCACAAATTATTTCTTTTCCTGCTAAGGTGACAGCAACTAAAATATATTACAACACACCCTGCAAAAGTAAGTTTTAAAAACTTTGCTTTTTAGTAATTTCTGTTAAGTTTTGATAACCGAGGCCCACTGGCTATAGTTACTTTGACATGTTCATACAGTGAAAATAGTTCTTGGAATGCCTGGACTCAGTTTTCTCAGGTCAGAAGGATTCCAGTTCTCTCCTGGCTCTAATGATGTTCTGGGACTGCAACGACCGAGACTTGAGAGCATGCCCCCAGTTAACCTTGTTCAACTTTACTCCAAGTGGGCGGCGTAACACTTAATCCTCCTCCTAAAATCTTCATAGAGAACCATCAGCTGCAAAATTTACTGAGAATAGAGTGAGTCAGGAGAGGAGTCATCTTTTGTTTAAGTAATGAACTTATCTGTGCCACATATATTTAAAGTCTTGAACCTTATTTTCGTAAAATGTCCCGCGTGTGTTAATGGTTTAGATAGAGCATCCTGGAAAGGAAACCCAGTGCCAATTTTAATCTTGAAAAATAAATGGAAGCTTGAGAAGCTGTTCCCTCACTGGTTACCTTACACAGTGTGTGGCTTCTTTGCAGTTCATATTGAGTCCAAGTGTAGGAACTTGTAGAAAGGGTTCTGTGATTTGCACATGGATATCTGCTCTGAACCAAAGGCCTAACTAAGCTTATCCTTGGGCACTTCTGTGTGGAACTTTAGTCAGTAGATGGTAAACTGGTGTTGCCAGAACAACCTGGACCATGGGAAACAACTACTTGGGTTTGATTTCAAACACAGACAGGAGGAATTGCCAGGTTTTGTCAGTTAAGCCAAGTTTGAGGTAGTTCTCCACCCCCACCCCTACCCCCACCCTCGCCCCCCAGAGGAAATTGTATGGACAGCCTGCAGAGTATGTGCAATCCCAGAACTTGGGAAGCTGAGGCAGGAGGATCAGTTCAAGGGCAGCCTGAAGACCCTGTCTTAAAAAATAAAGTCAGCTTGGATTTTGGAGCTGTGTGATATAAACAGATTACTTAATATTCTCATATTTCGCAATAGGGGAAAAGAGCAAACTCCACCTTATCCTTTGAGATAAGGCGCTTGGCTCTGCTGGCCTAGGTAACTCCCCAGTGGCCTTGGCAGCTCTGACTTCATGAGGAGGGGCCTCTCCTTAACTTTGAATCCAACTAGCAACTCAGGAAACATAAAGAACGGCAGGACAATATGGTCTGAAATGTCGATGCTTCTGGAGCTTGGTCAGGGCTTTCTCAAAGCTGTTAAGGCTATGTTGTGATATTCCCCCTCCACTTTAAAAGCTGAGTTCCAACAGGAGTGTGCTTCCACCTGTGGTAGGCTGGAATAATCCTAGAAGTTCCCCCACCCCCTGATGGTCATTAAGAAAGAGAGTATTGTTGCAAATTCTAGAATTTATTATGAGGGCTTTTCATAGAAATACATTTTGGATGTGTAGGGCAGCATTTGGGACTGAGTGCACACTCACCAAATGCTTGTTAGAACAAATCAATGTAGAATATGAACTAAATAAAGCACATGCAAAATTGCATCATTCTCAAATTTCTGCTTATATTTTTAGTTAGTGTTTTGTTCTCAGTACTTAAAGTTGACTGGTATGATAAGGTCTCTATCTGACCCTTGGTGTCCTGTTTGATTTTACAAGGGTCATTTTCAGTTTTACAATGCTTATATATTTGGAGTGATAAGAAAGAATAGCCATTAAAGCTTCTTTCTCTGAACCCCTCTTATTGTCCTGTTCTATGTTTTGGAAATAGAGGGACTAAAATGATGAAATGGTGGTTTTTGTCTTTTTGGGTTTCACGACCTCAACATTTTCCAGATGTGAAATCATAATGACTTAAACTAGTTTTCACTAGAGGATATTGCGATGCTCTATTCATGTGCATTGCAGGAAGGTAGTGTTCTAAAGAAAAAGGTGGGGCCCGGTAAACATTTGTTAATAATTACACAGTTCAAAGCTGTAGCTGCAGAGAAGGAGTGAATGAAAACCTATCGGATGGAAAGGGCGGGGCCAGGTCGGGGTTAGGGCTATTCTGAGGTCTGGACCTCAGTGTCCGGTTGCATGGTGCTGACCTCTTCTCTGCTGTTCACTCTAATGGCTCAGAAACAGTGTGTACAGAGGAAACACTTGGGCAAAGACGAAGGAAAAGCCTTCTTAGCAGAAACAATGCATTGCCCATGTTGGAAAACATTAAAGAAACACAGTAAGCTGTAAAAATTGATACTTGAGTAGCAGCTTGGCCCCACCCTCAGCAGGATGAGCCTCTTCAGAGTGTTCCAAATCCTCTTGTCTTTCTCTTTTGGACTCAGCTAGACACTCCTTAGAGGTCCTAAAGCCTACAGCTCTTATCTCCATGGTTGCCTGATGACTCCTGCTGTTGGTGAAGGAAATCTTTATCTGTATATGTCCTCAGCGAGGAAATCTGATGTGGTTTCACGGTGTTTTGAAAGCGGAAACAGGCGTCATATCTTCCCAGAGTTTTCCTCTGTTGAGGATTCTTTGGTAATGTGTTACTGACTAAAACCCCTTGAAGCCATTTCCTGCCCTAAGTATTGACATTCTTTTATG